AAACTTTGTTGACTGGCAACGCAATCTCTGCATTGTTCTCCGCATGGATGAGAAAGAGTATGTGCTCGAAAAGCCCATTCCTCCTGCCCCTCCCGCTAACGCCCCGAAAGCGGTCAAAGATGCCTACGAGAAACACGTTAAGGATGACAACCAGGTTAGCTGTGTCATGCTGGCTACCATGATAACCGAGCTGCAAAAACAGCACGAGGACATGAAGGCCCACGAGATGATCGTGGCCTTGCGGCAGCTATACCAGGGGCAATCCAGGCATGAACGTTTTCTCGTGAGTAAGGCTCTCTTTAGTTGCAAGCTCTCTTCAGGGAACCCAGTCGGTCTGCACGTTCTCAAAATGATTGGTTATATAACCAATCTGGAGAAACTCGGGTTCTCCTTGCAGAAGGAGTTGGCAACGGACCTAATCCTGCAGTCGCTCCCTGAGCTGTATAAGGGTTTTGTCATGAACTACATGATGCATGATCTTGACAAACCCCTTCCGGAGCTTCTTAAAATGCTCCAGACTGCAGGGGAGAACCTTACTAAGGGCAAGGGTGCTTCCGTCCTTATGGTCCAAGGCGGAAAGGGGAAGCCGAAGAAGGGGATTAAGATTAAGGCTAGGACGGTCGGAAATCCTAAATCGAAGTCCACTTCATCTGCAACCCAGAAACCCATAGGAGGAGTTGCAAAGGGCAAATGTCATCACTGTGGTAAGGCAGGCCACTGGAGAAGAAACTGCAAGACATACCTCGCAACCAAGAAGAAGGAAGGTACGACCATTTCTTCCGAGGTGTATGTTATAGAAGTTAACATGTCTATATCTTCATCATGGGTACTAGATACTGGATGTGGGTCTCATATCTGTACTACCATGCAGGGACTGAAGCAGAGTAGACAGTTAGCTCGAGGCGAGATTGAACTCCGAGTCGGCAATGGTGCACCTGTTGCAGCTTTGGCAATCGGAACTTATAGTTTAGTCTTGCCTAGTGGTCTAATGTTGGAATTAAACGATTGCTTGTATGTTCCTGCAATTAGCAGAAACATTATTTCTGTTTCATGTCTTGATAGGAATGGTTTCATCATTTCTATTAAAGACAAGTCCCTTTCCGTTTACAGAAAGAATGTTTTCTATGCTAATGCCAACATGACCAATGGGTCATATGTCCTTGACTTGGACATGCCTGTCTATAACATATCAGCCAAGAGGAACAAACCGAACGGTTTGAACCAAACATACCTATGGCATTGTAGGTTAGGCCATATAAACGAGAAACGCATATCCAAGCTACATCGGTCGGGAATGCTGGAGTCATTTGATCTTGAATCATATGACACATGCGAATCTTGTTTATTGGGTAAGATGACCAAATCTCCTTTCACCGGACACGGTGAAAGAGCTGGTGATCTTCTGGCACTCATTCATAGTGATGTGTGCGGGCCTTTCAATACAACTGCACGAGGTGGTTATTCATACTTCATCACTTTTACTGATGACCTCAGTAGATATGGCTATGTGTATCTCATGAAACACAAGTCAGAATCCTTTGAAATGTTCAAAGAATTCAGGAATGAAGTTGAAAAACAACTTGGCAAAAGTATTAAAACACTACGATCCGATCGAGGTGGAGAATACTTAAGTGGTGAGTTCGATGACTATCTTAGAGAGCATGGGATTTTATCCCAACTCACACCTCCTGGGACTCCACAATGGAATGGTGTCTCTGAAAGGAGGAATCGAACCCTGCTTGACATGGTTCGTTCTATGATGGGTCATTCGACTCTACCAGAATCATTCTGGGGGTATGCGCTGAGCACTGCAATATATACTCTTAACCGAGTTCCAACCAAGGCGGTTGAAGGAACACCATACCAGCTATGGACGGGCAAATGCCCGGTTCTGTCACACTTAAAGATTTGGGGCTGTGAGGCTTATGTCAAACGTCTTTTGACGAATGGCAAGCTTGACGCCAAGTCTGATAAGTGTTTCTTCGTGGGATACCCAAAGGAAACTCGAGGGTATTCATTCTATCACCCTATCGATAAGAAGGTATTCGTTGCTCGCAATGGTGTCTTCCTCGAGAAGGAATTTCTCTCCAT